TCTCTCTCTCTCTCTCTGTCTATCTCTCTCTGGTCAAATTAAAATAAATGAATGAATAAATAAAATTGAATAAATAATTCTTTAGTAAAAAAAAGTATGGCACTTTAAGGAATATTGAAAGTCATCTCTTATAACCTATTTTACAATAAAATAATCTCTATAATCGTATACAAATAGATTAATATACATATTTGTGAAGTAGGGAGAGGGAAGAGCACAAGAACTTATAAGTAGCTTCTTTTTCTAGTAACTGAGAAAATAAGTCTTAGAGATTTTTTCTATAGATTTTTTTTTAATGGCTCTCTTCACAGAACTAGAGATGTTAAAGATAAAGTAGGGTGTTAATTTGATGCCTTGATATCCAGTCAGAAGTCTCTTCTTTTTTTTTTTTTTTTTTGGCTTTAATAAAATCCCCTTTAGACAAAAACAAGTGTTCAGAGTTGATTGGGCTTTATGTTTTACCTGCATCCATTCAGGTCATATTTAATCCATTCTGAAAGGCATTTTAATACCTAGAAAAATGAAGACACAGATAGTTAGGCAATGACTTTTATTATTTTGTACCAATTAAAAATATTTTTAAGAAATAAAACCAATACATGTTTACCATATCATAATACTTAGACAATATTGTTTGACAAAAAAACAAAAAAGTTGAAAAAATAATAAAATTCTACTAACTTGTGTAACTATTGCTTATACCAGTGTATTATCTCCTGGGCCATTTCTTTGCCTGCTCACTCGCTCAGGGGTCAAAGTGAAAAAAAACCCGGAGAGAAAACAAGGAGTTAGAAAATGCCATTTAATAGTTAAATCCTGTTTTACTTTCCACTTACAGCAGCAGAAAGTAAGTAAGTGTTGAAAGGACAACTTTAAAAAACAAATAAAGCAAAGATAAAGGAACATGATATGCATTTGTTGATTGATTCATCCCTGAAACCCATCTAATACTAATGTTAAACCTACCAAACTTCAATCCCTAGAGAACTTCTATTTTCTTTTACAGCTTTAACATTTCTGTTTTTTAAGCAATTTTCAGATATTGAAGGTAAAATAAATGTTTGATCGTTCTGGAAAAAAGTAAAAAATACAGAGGCCAGCAGGTGGCATAATTGCAGTGTTGGATCCCCCACATGGCAAACTGTGGTTCAAGTCCTCGACCTGGTGGCTTGAAAATCACACCATGGGACCAGCAGATAGCATAATTGTTATGTTGCTAGACTCCCACATAGTCAACTGCAGTTCAAGTCCCAGACCTAGCGGCTTAAAACTCCTGCCAGGCTCGTGTGCATGCGTGCCAAAATCCTGAGAGGATAATGGAGAAGAAGGGATTGCAGTATGGCCATATCCCCTTGAGGGTGGCTTCTCTCTTTCCTTGTCTTCTTTCTGGCAAGTGCACACACCCTATAGCAAAACTCTCTTTAAAGAAAGAAAGAAAGAAAGAGAGAAAGAAAGAGAGAGAGAGAGAGAGAAAGAAAGAAAAAAAGAAGGAAGGAAGGAAGGAAGGAAGGAAGGAAGGAAGGAAAGAAAGAAAGAAAGAAAGAAAGAAAGAAAGAAAGAAAGAAAGAAAGAAAGAAAGAAAGGAAAGAAAGAAAGAAAGAAAGAAAGAAAGAAAGAAAGAAAGAAAGAAAGAAAGAAAGAAAGAAAAAAAGAGAAACAAAGAAATAAAGAAAATCACACCAGGTACATGAGCATGTATGCGAGCCCCAAATCCCAAGATGAGAATGGAGAAGAAGAGACTGTGGTATGATTTCTTATTTTTGCTTTCTCTGTATATCTCTGTTGAGCTCATACATCCTATGGCAAAAATCTGAAAAAAATTACACCAAGAAATAGTAGTTAAACCCACAAAAATCCACTGAGAAATGGCTACACTTCCATTTAAGAATTGTAATTGGTAGTCAGGAATGAGTGTCACTGAAATGTGGATTGTCAACTGGTCTCCCTTCATTATGTCTGCTGGTACTCATCACCATCAAGGTCTGCAGGGAGAGAATGCCATTGTTGTTAAACTGTTCTTTGTTTAGAATGCCCAAATGAAGTTGTGTGTGCATATACAAATCAAAGAGTGCATTTTCATAGGCACTGTCGCAGTTACACTGGTAACTGAATAATGCGATCATTTTATATACTCACCATATTGGGTTTTAAACTTTTTTCTTCCAATTAATAGTATGAATAGTTTTGTGTTGTGATAATTATACTTCTACACTTAATTTTAGTGACTGATTCTCTTTTATTAAATGAATATTTAAACCATTGTGACTATACAATTATAATATTATGTTATTGAATATTTTAAATAATACCTCATTACACTCTGCTTTCCTTATTCAGTTTGTTCCCTAAGAAAAAGAATATCTTGAGATACAATGGATTGATTAATCAGGCAGTAACAACAAAAAGCATCACTTTCTAACTTGTGAAATTAGCTATGAAATTAGTATAACTCCTTATGATTTTTGTATCATGTATTAATTCCACATTTTGGCAGTCATGTTGTGTTACCATTACCTGGTATTTAATATGTATTTTTCAGGAGGTATAATTGTCATTTGGTAAACTGCACACTTTTAAAATGTGCAGTTTTACATTTGAAAATCATTTGATGAATGCTACTATTTCATAATTATTTCATTATGCTTTTGCTGGAATAATTTGAACTAATTATGGATTCTTTTTTTTTTATTTTTCAGTAGCCCAGCAGGAGGCTGAAATGTTTAAGCGCTATAATGGAACATTTCCATTACCTGGAATACACCAAAGTCAAGATGCTTTATGTACCTGTCCTAAACTGCCCCATCAAGGCTCCTTTCAGATTGATGAATTGGTCCACACTGAAAATTCTTCAACAAAGATGCAGCTAGTAAAACAAAGACTCGAAACCGTCACAGTATGTTTAATTATTTCATGTAATTGAAATCTTAAAACTGTTTTTATCCTTTTACATTACCATGGTAATAAATATTAATTTAATGAAATAAGTTAATTACTGTAAAGTAGCTTTCTTTCACTTTTATCATTTCTTTCAGGTACTTGCGGTAGACAGGGTGAATTTGGGGAAATGTATCATCCTATCCTCTGCAATGGGTCTCTGTAAAGACTAACTTGAGATGTAGTGGTCAGGGAGGGATGTGAACCAGAAGACCACACCTAGAACTTACTACATGGATATGACACTCTACCTCCTAGGAAAGGAAGAGTAACTGTGGCCTTCTCAGCCTTATCCACTAGGATCCCTAAGAGAAGGGATGTTACTTAGCAGATTTAGGGTTTTAAAAGTAGAGAAAAATACTTTGTTAGAAATAAAAAAAGAAGTGTTCCTTGTCTAAAATTTTGTATGATATAACAACTCTATCAGCAGACATGAAGACATAAAAACAACTCACTGATAAATATATAAACACAAATTTGGCCCAGTCATAAGTAACATGCTTGGAACTCTGCTGCTTGGCATGCTGAGAGCACATGGCATGCCTGAGTTCAATTCCTGGCCCTCCCTGAAAAGCCATGTATGTGTATAGTAGTCCTGGCTACTTTAAAGGCAGAGGCAAGAGAATTGTGACACAATGAGATCCTATCTAAACACCACCCACACACAACTCACACACACACATATACACACCCCTTACAAAACAAAAAAAGAAAAAAAGTTTTCTACCATCTACCAGTCTTGACACTGTTCTGGCATCATCTAAGTCTTATAGTTTTTCTCTAATATCGTTTTTTAATATACTGGTCATCTTCAGATAAATGAAAGGTTGTCAAAACAAGGGAAAGAAGATATTAAAGAAAATCAAAGTCAAAGAAATATTTTTAAATGAAACCAAAGGTAGAAGTAAATTGAAAATGTATTTTAAAAGAACAAACTCAGTTCTCTTAGAATCATTATTTCAGCTATTATGAAATCTTTCCTTCTCAAAATTCTGTAGAGAGTATATTTAAGATTAAGATAGGTCAAGGCTACCTTGCAAAGAAAAAAACTTTCTGTATGTTCTGTAATTTAAAAAAAAAAAAAACATTCTGCCTGAGTTTTCATTGAATTTTTTTTCAGATGCTATCTGCAATGTATTTGTTTTTCAGAATGTGTATAGTATGTATGGTAATAAAAGCAAAATGTCATTTTTATTCCCATGGCAACTCTATTGTTTTTATATTTTGTAAGTTCTTAAAGTTGACTAGATTCACAACTTTTACCACAACATCTTTTCTCTTGCTTCTTGTAATTATATTTTGGTAGACTCTTTTACATGCAGGTTGTTCCTTAATTTGTAAAGGACTGTATTAATGGATCTAGTTGTTTCTTTGTTGCTACAAAAGAAATATGTTCTAATAAATAATAGTACAAGTCTAGGGTGTGGTGTGTGTATGTGTGTGTGTGTGTATGTGTGTGGTGTGTGTGTGTATGTGAATTGCATGGGAAATTTGGTTCCATAAGCATTTAATAGTTCATCACTCTTTAATGAATAAAAAATACCCCCAAAAAGGTAGATAATTCCATGTTCTTTGGATGTGTACTACTTCGTTATAATGTAAACCATTTAATTGTTTCTCAGCAGACTTAACGTGTATGTTGTGCTACAGCAGTATATAAAAGGCATCCTGCAACTCAGATAAGACTTTATAGGTGGACAGTATCTTGAGAGCTGAGTTTTCATTGAATTTTTTTTCAGATGCTATCTGCAATGTATTTGTTTTTCAGAATGTGTATAGTATGTATGGTAATAAAAGCAAAATGTCATTTTTATTCCCATGGCAACTCTATTGTTTTTATATTTTGTAAGTTCTTAAAGTTGACTAGATTCACAACTTTTACCACAACATCTTTTCTCTTGCTTCTTGTAATTATATTTTGGTAGACTCTTTTACATGCAGGTTGTTCCTTAATTTGTAAAGGACTGTATTAATGGATCTAGTTGTTTCTTTGTTGCTACAAAAGAAATATGTTCTAATAAATAATAGTACAAGTCTAGGGTGTGGTGTGTGTATGTGTGTGTGTGTGTATGTGTGTGGTGTGTGTGTGTATGTGAATTGCATGGGAAATTTGGTTCCATAAGCATTTAATAGTTCATCACTCTTTAATGAATAAAAAATACCCCCAAAAAGGTAGATAATTCCATGTTCTTTGGATGTGTACTACTTCGTTATAATGTAAACCATTTAATTGTTTCTCAGCAGACTTAACGTGTATGTTGTGCTACAGCAGTATATAAAAGGCATCCTGCAACTCAGATAAGACTTTATAGGTGGACAGTATCTTGAGAGCATTGATACAGCTCATTTTAAGTTTTCAAATCCAGAAATTTGATCTATCAGTGCATTCAGAGTTGCTCAAAATCTGAGGTACTTAACTATGAGCATTGAATCCTACAAAAAGTTTATACACCCGAATCCATTTTTAAAAGTTTTTATAATAAAAGGTAAACCTTTCTAGCTATCTGAATACGCAATACCACCCTCTCTTTCTAAAACTGACCTGGAATTCAGGTTAGTGATTACAGATTTGATTGTTAAGCAGAATCATAGGGATAGTGATTGGGTGGGTTTTAAATATTTTATGCCAATTTTGAAAAAGAGTGGTTAATTTTCTGTACCCCACAGTAGATTTCAAATTATATTGGCTGGTACTAAATAACAGGTTGAATTATTAGTAATAATTGATATGGAATATTTCTGGCACTGTGAATAAGTGCTTTACATGTCTCACTTATTTAATCCTCACAACCATCCTATTGGGTGGATACCAGAATGTATTATCCCTCTTTTCCAGAAGAGGAACTTAAGTCTTACAGGGATCAGCATAACCAGGGTCACACAGGTAGTTAGCATTGGAACTGGAATTTAGTCCAGGTCGTTGGATTCCTGTATCCATAGTCAATTTTACTATCTTCTTTTAGTTATCTAATTTCCAGTATCCTTTAGACATAGTGACTGACTCTTGGAAATATCTGAATAAAATATTGATGTGCCTCTTTTTCAGTTCTCTTTTATTCTAAATTCCACATTGATTTTTAGCATTTTTCTGTAGTTCTGTATAGGCTGATGGTCTGTGCAGGTTAACTCTATATGAACTTGGCTGTTGTTGATGTTTCCTTAGTTGCAATGTTCAAATTGCCCATTATGCATTGATTTTTATTAATTTCTCTTTCAAACATGAGTTTTAGGCAGTTTCTTTTTTGTAGCTTGCTCAGGATCAGTTATAGACTTTACCATTCAGTACTGTTTACTCTTAGATTTTATCTCATATGAATAATTAATATAGAAATTGTATCTATGAGTAATAATGTTATTTATAGAGATAATTATATGCAGCAGTTAACTCAGGGTGTGTCTTTTACACCTTTTCATGTCCTAGTACAGAATTTTAGTATCTATACTAAGTCCATGAGGAGACAAACTGTTCTTGAGACAGATAAATTTTGTCCCTCAGAAGTCTGTCTGTGCCTTTGGTTTCAGCAAGTTAGATTTACTGGTTGAGTATCCAGTATTAGAAATGCTTAGGACCAGAAATATCTCTAATTTGGGGTTCATTAAATTGGGAATATTTGCATATTTGTAATGTGGTATCTTGAATATGGGACACAGTTCTAAACACAGAATTCAGTTACGTTTACATCTTATAAATGTAACCTGAAGGTAATTTTAGACAATATTTTTGCATGGCACTATTTTATTTATAGCATATCACATGAGTTTAGATGTAGAATTTTCATGTCAATGGTCACAAAAGTTTCAGATTATGGAGCATTTCAGATTTTTGGATTAGGGATGTTCAAACTATATCATGAATAGCTCTCTTTATACTCTTGCCAGCTTACTAGAAACAAGTAGAATGACAGTTGCAGGGTGATAGGCAAAGAATCGTTCTCAAATGTGCTTTTGGTTATTCAATTAACATCTGAATGTGTTAAAAATATCAATATTTTATTTAAATAAAATTATGAATTTTTTTTCATTGTACTGTATTTCTTTTAGGAGGTGATACGATCCTGTGCTGCAAAAGTAAGTAATTTTTATTACCAAGAAGATAACTTTAAAATTCAGTTTTCATTGCAATGCACCAAAGAGTTAGAATGTTCATTCATGGAGTTTAGACCTTTGATAAAAATTAATCTGGTATGTAGTTTGCTTATTGGAGTTCACATTTATCAAGGAATTATAATACTGGAATTTGAGGATTCAACAAGGGAGAATGTTTAGCAAGTAGCTTTACATTTTTGGAGATTTAAGAATACTGAATGATTGAGGGTGTACTTTCAGTAAAGGACCAGCAAGTCATTTCGTTGTCTGAAAAAAAATTATGTATGATACCTAATAGGTTGGGGGGATACTGGCCAATACAGTTCCTTTGGGTACATGAGTAAATTTTATACTCATTGAAATACTCACGAGCTACACATAAGTGATGTATTGTGCTGATAATGTTCTTTATCACTTGCAAAAGTCGTCCACACTTTTCCTCACTTAACTATATGACAATCCAATATTGTTATTCTAGTTTTAGAAAGGAGGATACTGAGGCTTATTGAGCTTAAGTGATTTACCACAGACCCCAGAGTTACTTTAAAAATAGTAGTACACAAAATGATTCTTGACTGTTGAACAGTTTTATCTAAAGTGTATCTAAGAGACTATCAACACAGAAGCTTATAAGCAAGGTTATTTTATGTACAAGCTTTAACTCACTTGTTGATAAAATAAATTAACTCGAGGAATTGGAATGGCATCATGTGTTCATCCTTCCCTCTTTTCTTTGCATACTCCCAAAATTCCGTTGAATAATTAGATAGCCATTAATTTTTCAAATACAATTATATGGCACACAGTATTGTAAAAGGTGAGACAACTAGAAAAGAAAGAACTAGAATGGTATTAATATGTTCAAAGACTGCATCACACAATATCAGGGCAATGGAAATATATTTTTAAATTCAGTAGCACCTACTACCATGAGGCAGGAACTGGGAATGCAGTAAGCTACTGTCCCTTTCCTCATGGGGATATCTCAGGGAGAAAACATGTCAGAAAACACTGGGCTTACCCTTATCACTGAGCTGTCCAGTATCAGTCAGGACCCATCACTTTTTTACCTAATAATCATAAGTCAACAGGATATAGAATATAGACAAGGGGAAGGAAGACAGGGGAAAAAGGAGAACAAGCTATATTCTGACTTGGGCTGCAGATGTTCAGGAAACTTGTTCCTGATAGCAATGATTGGTGTAATGATTGCAGTTCCAAGATTACTTAATCTTCTTAAGTATGTATAGTATATAAAATAGGAGACAAAAAATTACTTTCTGACAAGCAATTCAGACTTTTTTCTCTCTTTTAAAATACATATACTATGTACTTGGGGCGGGGGGATGCTCTCTGAATGTCCAAAGAAGAAAGTGTCCTGAACACATTTAACAAGGCTTTATGGAGAATGGCCTTTACTAATCTAGAAACTCTCCAAGAGTAAAGGATCATGTATTCGTTATTGTAAACTTTGTATTTAACAAAGGTAGAATAAATGTTCATTTTAAAAAAAAATTGTTAGAGACCAACAGATGGTGTAATGGTTATACTGTTGGACTCCCATGTAGTCGACTTGGTTCAAGTCCCAGACCCAGTGCCTTAAGGCTCACACTGGGTACGTGTGTGTCCTTGCCCAAGATTCCAAGAGGAGAATGGAGGAGAAGGGATTGCGGCATGGCAATCCTGCGGGGTGGGAGGAAGGAGGATTTCTCACATTCTGTCTGTCTTTCTCTATCTCTCTGGTGAGTGCACACACACCCTATAGCAAAAATCACTCTCTCTAAAAGAAAAGAAAAGAAAATGGTTACTTATTTAGAAATTAATCAGGGTCTAAAAAGATTAACTATACTTGTATTTTGGACTCACCAGAGAGAGAGAGAACCCCCCCACACACACACACACACACACCGTGGGTCAGGATCACAATGCAATCCACTTTTTTCCATTTCTCCATCCCATCATGATTCGCTGCATGCACACATAAGCACTGGCATTTTTTTTCTTTTTCAAGACACTGGGGCCAAGATTCAAATCATTGTCAAACGTGTGGGATCAGGCTCCCTGTGTACTGTGCCCAACTACTGGACTATGTGCTGGCCCAGTAATAATCAACTTTGAAAGTGTATAGTTCACTTTTTCCTTTTCCACAGAATTGTGCCATGATTCCCACTATCTGATCTTGAACATTTTCATTACCCCAAAATGAAACTCTATGTCATTTAGCAGCCATTCCCAATTCCATTACAACACATACTCCAAATTCCTAGAAACCACCAAAATATACTTTCTGTCTCTATAGATTTCCCTATTCTGGACATTTCATACAAGTGCAATCATATAATGTATGATCGTTTGTAACTGGCTTCTTTCACTCAAAATGTTTTTAAGACCCCTACATTTGTGGGACCAACATGTGGTGTAGTAGTTAAGGAGCTGGACTCCGACGTAGTTGACCATGATTCAAGTTGCGGACCCTGCAGCTTGAAATTTACACCAGGCACATGTGCATGTGTGCCCAAAATCCTAAGAGGAGAATGGAGGAGAAGGGAGTGTGGTGGTGTGGCCATCCCACCTGAAGGGTGATTTCTCACTTTCTGTCTCTCTGTCTCTGTCTTTCTGGCAAGCTCACATGCCCTGTAGCAAAAATCTCTCTCTCAAAAAAAAAAAAAAAAAGATTCCTACATTTGTAATATATTAGTACTACTTTTTATTGCCAATAAGATTCCATTCCATTGTATAGAGGTGTAACGTATTGTTTATCTATTCATCACCTGATAAACATTTGTTTGTTTATGCTTTAGCTATTAAGATTAATACTTCTATTAACATTGTGTATATAAGTTATGGTGTAGCATGTATTTTCATTTCCTGAGGTATGTACGGAGGAGTGAAATTGTTGGGTCATTTGGTAACTGTTTAACATTTTGAAGAACTGCCAAAATCTCATCATCTTTACCAATACTTGTATTCTTTTCTATTAATAAGCATCTTAGTGGGTGAGAAGAGCTTTATACCATTGTGATTTTAATTTATATTTTCCTAATGATAATGATTTTGAGCATTCTTGCTGCGCTATTTATAAACATTCTTTGGAAATATATGTTCAAATACTTCGCCTGTTTTTTAGATTGGGGTAAGATTTTTTTGTTTTGTTTTATGTTTGCTTTTATTGGGCACTTAAAACAATTATTATTTTTTTTAATTTTCCAGAGAGCATGTGCGCTTACCAGGAAGAGAGAGAAAGACTGAGAAAGCACCTCACTGTAGAACAGTCCCATTGTGATCACTTCTCCTCCTTTCTTTTGAGATTTTGGACATGATCACAGATGTGCCTGGCTCCCCCATCCCTTCTTTTTCCAGGATACTAGGGATGCATGCACATGTACCCAGCATGTTTCTCAAGCTGTTGGGTCCAGAACTTGAACCGCAAGTCGTCTGTGTGCAGTCCAGCCACCTTTATCACCTTGCCACTGGCTGGTCTATTTTTCACTTTTAATAGTCCTTTACTCTGAATATAAATAAATGATTAAATAGATCATCAAATAGATTATTTGCAAATATTTTACATTTTGTAGAGTATCTTTTCACTTTCTTAATGATGTCCTGCAAAGTATTTTGTTTTTTTAGTTTTTCTTTTTAGAGAGATTTTTGCTACAGGGCACATGTGCTCACTGGAGAGACAGAGACAGCAAGTGAAAAATCATGCCCGAGGAGGGATGGCCACCCCTTTTCTATTCTCTTCTTGGGATTCTGGGCGTGCACGCACACAGGCCCAGTGTGAATTTTAAGCCACTGGGTCTGGCCTCAAACCACAGTCAACTACATGGGAGTCCAGTGATGTAACCCTTACACTGTCTGCTGTTCCCAAAATTTTAGTTTTTAATTGAGCTCATTTGATCAATGTTTTTCTTTTGTAACTTATACTTTCTGTGTAATATAGGAAACTAATTCCTAACCCTGTGTCACAAAGATTTACTTGTTATATTCTAAGATTTTTATAGTTTTAGCTTTTACATTTAGATCTGTGATTATTTTGAATTAATTTTTGTAGGTGGTGTGATGTATAGGCTTATTCAATGAATAGAATTTCATTCTATTGCATGTGATTATCTAGTTATTGCAGCATAATTTATTGAAAAGACTGTTCTTTCCCCCTTTGAATGGCCTTGGCACCCTTGTCAAAAGTGTAATTTAACAAGAGTATATTTATGCAGTTTTTCATCTGTTTGATCTAAAATAGTAAGTTTTCACCAAGGGCCTGATATGTAAGTTTTTTCTTTCCTAAATCCCAACCAGATTTTTTGTATTGTTGAAGTCTCACTCATTTTTTCCATTAAAATTCTTCAAGTAGATATCTATTGAGTGTCTACTAAGTATTTTTCTAGGTACATAGGGCATAACAGAATATTTTATTATGGGAGATAAAGAATTTTAAAAGGAATTGAATAAGGTAATTTCAGGTAATAAGTGATGTGGAGAAAACGAAATAGGCCCTGCAGCAAAAAAACTGGAAAGGAAGACTGTCTTAAAAGAATGATCGTGGAAGGCCTGAGAGAAACTCTTGACAAAGAGCTAGTCATGCCCTATAAAAATCCTGATCTAGCAATAAAACTGGCATGCTTGAGTAGCAAAAAGAAGACCATTGCACTTAAATGGTGTAGTGAGTGGGCAAGGAGAAACAATTGGAGAGAGGTGATCAGGGCCTTTTAAAGGGTCTTATAATAAGTATGACAAGGATTTAGACTTTTTAATTTAATTTAATTTAATTTAATTTAATTGCTAGAAGGTACATGTACTCACCAAAAGGAGAGAGACACATCCCCCCCCAACAGGGCATGATCACGCTGCAAACCCTTCTCTTCCATTTCTCTATCCTGTCAGGATTGGGGGCATCCATGCCAGGATTTGGGGCACACATGCCTGGTGAATTTTTCAAGCTGCCAGGACTGAGATTCAGACTATGGTGGGCCATATGATTCAAC